AATCATAAAGATTCCAGTAATTACTACCCGAACTGCCTCAGTGAAGGGATTCCAGCTAGATTTTGAACTGGCAAATGACAGTACCCTCATCAGGGGCAAAAAAATGGGAAGATCTCAGGAGACTACTTATAAACAAACAAAAAGGAGCTTCAAAGCTGGCTGACTCTGTGGGGATATATGTAAAAAAAACAGTCTATCCAATTCATACCTAGGAACAGGAACTGCCATTTATGGGCCAAAAACGGATGTGGACCCTCACAACAAGGGATACAGAATCACTACTGGCAAATGATGAACAGAAGTCAAGTATATAGAATATAATATCTATCCATCCCTTTTGCAAAAATTATACTTTGGCCACTTCTGAGTTGGCATCAGAAGCAGGAGGAGGAAAAAAAAAATTAAAAACAAGATCTGAGGAATGAAAACTAAAAGAGAAGAGAGGCTGGTGAAGCAAAGCCACTCTATGAAATGCATTTTTAACATGAGGGTTTGGCAACCGACAGAGGTGCTGACCAAGAAATATACGCTTCAATATTTAATATTATGAAAGAATAAAGTTGACCCAGGGCTGAACATCAAATTCCAAAACATCATACCTAGGAGGCTAACTCTGAAGCTAGAAAGTACAGCACTGGGGACGAAAAGAATGAGAAGATCTTACCAAGAGATTATAAACTTATGAAAATAATCCCAAAAATTAGTATACTAGGACACTGGGACACTGATTACAAAGAACAGCAGAAAGAAGAATCCTTTAGGAGGCCAAAAGCCTATCTCTATAAAACAGGCTTGCATATGCCACTCCAAAGGCAAATTTAACCTTGCAAGTCACTGACCTTTAACCATGTTTGGATTTTTTCCAGGAAAAGGAGACATTTACTCAGAAGATTCAAGATAAAGTCTTTTTTTTTTTTTCAGGGTGTTCACACTTGTCCAAAAGGATAAGGACAAGCTTCTGAACAAATATTCTACATCATCAGTCTTCTTAGCCTCTACCCATCATTCAAAACACTAAATTCTTCAATCTCCCTTATTACATATTATATTTTTAATTGCCTGAGCTTTCCTGATATCCCCTTAAATACAAAAAGAGACAAGAAGGAAGGGACAGAGGCAGGGAACACAGAGTTGGTCTATCGGGTCTCCAGGTAATCCCCAGAGAAATCTGGAAGATTAACTTGCACACTGAGTTTGCCCAGGCTCTTCACAGATATTAATACTCTGATTAACACCTATTGGAACAGTACAACCCTGAAACAGGATACCTTAGTCTCTGTTCGGGAATGACTTCCTGCAGCATCAGCTTCCTAGTGTCCCTTAGGAACCTTCTGAACTAGAGAGAGTAAGAGTGCAAACTCAGATGGCTATGTACTATGTTGAAGAAAGACAATCAGATATCCCTTTGAATTATATGCATCTTTGTATTTATCTATATATAGAGATTACCTATATTCTGTCTTAATGGATTCGACTATATAAATATATCTTTAGTTATGCTGCACTAACTTACCTACTTTCACTTATACCAAAATGTCTTTCTAAGTGAAAGTTCAATTAAATTAACACAAGGCTTCCTTTCTGTCCAATAGTTCCATGAACTTGAAATTAGAGTTCTCATAGGTATAAAAATTACAGCGTTTCACAAATATATTAAGAATGGCACAATTTTAACAAGTTGTATTAAGAATATTTCTTCTTGGGTAACATTACTGGTTAGAATAGAAGTTTGTAGATAAGGGATGAAGATCAATATTTATAGTCTATAGATATTGAGAAGGAATTGAGAACTTACCAGATACCAACAGTGGTAATCTATTCCTGGAATAAATATTAAAAATCAGGTATGACCTCTGTCTTCAAAGACTTTATATTATAATTGGGTTTGGAAAACATGAAACTATGTTCTTAGTCATTTCATGCTTATCAGATATGAAAGTAACTGCACTTCTATTAGTCTAGACTCTAGGTAAACCTGGACAAATTTCTATTGTTTGCATTTCTAGGGAGGCCTCCAAAAGGCCAGCTAAGGATGCAATGTAATTATTTCAGCTATCTATCTATCTATCTATCTATCTATCTATCTACCTACCTACCTACCTACCTACCTACCTAATTGCATGCCAGGTTTTGCAGCCAGGAGACTTCAAATCAAGTTCTGGATAATCTTAACAACCATTTGACCTTGTGGAACATCTGTTTTCCTATCTGTGTAATGGGAAGACTAACAAGTTCCACCACATTGGACTGTTGTGTTGAGCTGAAATAATGTACTTAAGAGTGCTTTGAAACTATAAATCTATGTTAGTCATTATGACATCAAGCCGCTGTATAGTTTGAGGAAAATTAGTATTTTGTTAGAAAAGTGCAGAAAGGACACTTTATTTTATGGTCCATGCCCTCCACTCTGCTCTTTGGAAAGGGCAGATTAAAGGTGCCCCAGAATCTGGAGGGCACCCTCTCTGGCTTTTGTGTGGCCTTCTTTCACATATCTGTCATCATCTTTCTATTTTGGTGACCTTTTTTTGACTCTTGTTTGGGAGTTCAATGTGCTATTAAATTTTTTTTCTTGTTATTATAACTTTTACTTGTCTTACACTGTGCCAAAAGGTGTAGGACACTCTTAGCCAAGACTTTGCCACTCTTTAGCCAAGATGGTAAATTAAAGCCCTTCATGTCACTAAATTTAAAAAGCAGGGTTGATCATTTAAAAAGTGATCTCAGATTTTGGATATACTTCTCAGCCTTCCACTTGGGCCATTCTTCTCTTTTCATTATACATATACAATATACACATAGACACAGGTATGCCTCTTGTACTCAAAGGTTATGCTCTAAAATAAACCAGTATTAAAGGAAAAACAAAAGTAAATGCTCTTGAAGTTTTTTTTCTTGCCCTAGATGTTTATTTGCTTAGGATAATAAACATTTATGCTTGAGGCAGATTTCAATACACATGGTGCAACCACTTAAATTTTAAAATTGAAAACATTCTTAAATAGAAAAAAAAACAGTTATGTTCACAGAACCTTATTCTGGACAATTTCTAACATAAGATAAGCCTAAACAACATAATTTCTGAAAATAGTATTAGCTCATTTTTGACACTTCTTATATTCATATTTGAAATTAATGATTTTTAAAAGGCATAAACTTTCACTTGAATCTGTATAGAAAACTATATTTATTTTCCTGAAATCAGGTCAATGTATATATATGCACTGGTTTTTTCATATTAATAGCTGGTCGAATCTTTCATACATCAGAGCATCAGAATAGATGTTTTTCCTAGACAATCTTTAGAAATAACACTTCATTGCTATATTATCTAAAACAAGAAAGTACACAATTTTCACCCAGTTGCAAACATGATTCAAAATTAATTTCTCAATAAAATTGGGGAGTTGTATGTTTGGGGAGTTGTATGGTATTGATTTCTGGTTGTCCAGCCACTAGTCACCCATCATAGCAGAATGGTGTCTTGCTCCCCAAACCATCAGGGAAGGCCCAAGAAACTTCTGGTGGGATAGACTGAGTGTTAAAGGTGGTAGGAGGAAACTTATAAACAAAACAGAATTAAAACAGAAATCTGAGTTCCAGACTGACAAGTTTCTACTAAGCTACTCCAAGTTTTGAATAACCATCTCCAGTAAGCGCGAACGAAGAAAGATCTGATAACATGCACAGAACACACATACGCTCCTTGTCAGAGCAATGTGTCAACAGTACAAATTAACAAGGGAATTTCCAGCATTTTCCTCACTGTGTGCACTTCTCCTTCCTTCAGGACCAAGAAAGGTTGAATAAGGTTTACCTTGCTATGAAAAGGAAAGAAATCGCAGTCACATACCGACCAAGCCCGCACAGAATCCGCAGAAGCAGAGGTACTTTGGGCACTTTGCCCACTCCCCTCCTCTTTGCTTCGCCAAAGTCCACACCTCTAGAGATGGGACAGAACGTGCCTTCAGCCTACAAACAACTCTACGAAGCCGGCCCCAACAACCCTTGTAACCTTCCTCCCGAAGTTAGTCGTGAGTCCACAATGAATTCCGGTCACCTCAACCTCAACTCCGCAGGGCCAGGGACCTGGAGCGCCCCCCCCTCCCCCGCCCCGGGAGTCCCGGGAGTCCCGGGAGTCCCGGAACGCTGCGCTCACGTGGTCGCCGGCCGCGGCACGTGCGGCTCGGACCTGAGGCGGTGGGAGTGAAGCACCGCCCGGAGCGGGAGGGGAGACCCGCAGAGGCGCAGGACGCGTTGGGGAGAGGGGAAGGACCAGGGGCGCTCCGGGGCGCGCGAGGAGAAGCTGAGCTTCAGGCAGTGCAGGTCAAACTGCAGTTCCCCGGGGTGTACACAGGAAGGAAGGCGCAAGTTTGAATGGGGTAACAACTTGGACTTTTTTTTTTTAAGGTTTATTTTAAATGGGCAAATGCATTTGAATTCCATCTAGCGTGAGAGCTTCCAAGGTCGTCACAATCCCCTTCTCGCCTGGATCCCACACTTGAAATCCCTGGCAAAAGAGGAAGCAAAGGTGTCCCGAGGTAGCAATTCCATCCCCACCCATCTTTTGGGGAACTCTAACCAACTCGGTCTCAGGCGAACACTGGGGAACCGCACCCTGGAACAAAGAGGAGGTGTAGTCCCCTCCAGATGCATATAGCCCGCTGAGTGCTGGTATTTAAAACCCTCGGCAGGCCAGCTGTGTTTACGGCTTGTTTCGTTTTGCTGGGGGAGGGGAAGGGAATCCGAACTCTGGACTTTTTTCCCAAACTGGGAGCCGGGAGCTTGGCATTCGATCCCACTAGCACAGAACTCCAGTCAACTCGGGCCGTGGCGACTGTCACTTGGGGGGTGGGGAGGGGAAGGAAAGGAGCTCAAGAGACAGAGCGACGGAGGGGCTGGCGAGAGAGGGAAGGAAACAGGTGAGCTCCCACCACCGCCCCTCGGAAATCCAGCGCGGCGGCCCCCGGCACGCCACCGTCCCGACCTGGAGAGGCACTTACCGGCTTTACAAGGGTCCTTGTAATCTATCGTCTCCGCTTTATCCTCTTCGTTCCCATCAAAAGTGTAATCATAATCGAGGCCAGCGCAGACCCAAAGCTCCCCGTAGAAAACAATCCCCGAGGCCACCAGCCACACAAGCATCCTCGGGGGAAGCTTTTGCAACCCCATCCTCCTCCCCTGGAGGAAAAGGAAGGGACGGGACCGGGAGGTGAGGCGTCCGCGGTCCGCGCTGATGTGCGGTGCGAGGGGAACCGGTGCTCCTCTCCCTACCGGGAGGCTCTTCGGCGACACTGGGGTGTTCAGGTGTCCGGAGACATACGGATGCCGTCGGGACAGTAGAGAGGGCAAGAAGTGCCTGTTACCCCCAGTTGGAGGGAGAAGTTGGCTAGGGGCCCGCGGGTGGGCGGAGGGCAGGTAAGGAGCTCGGCTCCCGGAGACGGGGAGGGGCAGCTGCGGGCAAACTCGGCTCTGGCGGAGCGGGCGCTCGCTGCCTGCCAGGTCGTCCTTCTGGCGGCCGAACTTCCCGCGGCCGCGGCTGGGCGAGCGGCGCCCCGCGGGCTCAGCTGCCACCGAAGCTCGGGCTCCCGCGCCGCGCCCCCGCCGCTGCCAGAACCCAGCCGTAGAGCGCGAGCTGCCGCTGCCGCCGCCGCCGCCGCCGTCGCTCGGGGAAGATGAATCCGGTCTGCACATCAGCACATCTGAACTGAAAGGGGAGACCGAGGAAGGGGGTGGGGGGCAGGCATTTCTACGCCGCGAGACCTTAAAAGCCTGCAGAAGCCAGCAAAGCAACTGACTGAAAAAAGCAAAAGTGTGAGGATTTGGGGATGCACCGTTTGCCTCCCCCGCCCCCCCACCCAGGCTGTCTTTTTACCCTCTTCCTAACTTGAAAAAAAAAAAATCTTCGCAGCATCTAACCCAATCACTTGCATCCTGCTTACTTATTCATACAATCAGGGTCAGGATCCGGGCCACAGCCTCCTCTCTGACTTCTTTTGATAGCCTTATACAAACAAACAGACACGAGCGCGCTGACAATCCATTTATATTTTACTAAAGATAAAAATGAATATATTATGTATCTGCGTCCGCGAACAGCAATTAATAGATGATGTACGTGTCAGCCAAGAGTGCCAGACCGGGGGTGGCGCGAAGGATCGTGATAACTTAGCTGCAAACCTCTACTTCCCCTCCCCCCCAAATAAACAGCGGGTGTGTGTTTCTTTCCTTTGCTGCGGTTTAACCTTAGTGCAGCCCGGGAATGGAGGAAAAGTGTCTGAGCCTTCGCGACTTGAGTAAGGAAGGAGACTGCTTTAAAAGTCCCCCAACCAACAAAGTTTTGCTAAGAACTAAGATCCCCAGAACTGCAATTAAAAAAAAAAAAATCCAAAATCAAGTTACAGATTGCAGCAGCAGGAAACGCTAAGACCTTGCTGATGGGCTGGCGCTATGGCTCACGTGGGCGCAGGAAGGGAAGTTGGAAGGAATACTCGGGAAGCAAATTTTCTGTGACAGTTCTGGCGCCCATACCCGGAGTTGCTCAGTATCCTTCGGCTTCAGTTGTTTTACTTCTGAGGAGAGTGTGTAAAACCTGGCAGCAGGATCAGCGAGGTAAACCACATGTCAGCCTAGCAGACGCAAGACAAACACAGGTTGTGGGAAATTGGGGAGGAAAAAAAAATCAGAGGAAATCTCTGCAAAACCCCTGTTGTGAGCAATTCAGTGGTTTCCCCACATCTGCAAGTAGTTTCCAAAATAGGTGAGAGGACTCCTCCTCCCCCAGACTGGTGATTGGGAGCCTTGCCTTTTCCAACTAAATCTTGAACTGTCACTTTAGCAAGGACTTGTAAAAAATCTTCTGTTGCCTTTACATCTTTATTTAACATTTAAATGTCCCCCTTTTCCAAGTTACCATCAATATACAGTGTTATCTAGAGGAAAATGTGAAAGTAACTACCCTCCCACCCACACACTTTTGACAGGTAAACCCAGTTAGGTTAGGGGATTTGACCAGGTTTTATGGTTGTTAAAGAAAAATTGGAGGCTAAACTTGAAGAAGTATCACCTATTTCCCTCTTAAACTAAGACTAAAAGGATGGGAGGACTAGGTAGAACTGATTTGATATTCCTGGCAAAACTGGGGCTTTCTCAGAGGCCAATGCAGTAATGGAGACTTCCTTCTGTAGATCTCAAACTTTTAACCCCAGGTCACAGAACAGAGAGCAGATCTGAAAAGAACAAGTTCAATAAGTAGGTAGAGGTATTTGGTTTTGAAATCTCTTGCTGAGTCATTCTCAAATTCTTTTACCCATCCAAAAAAAGGTTTGCATAATTAATAATGGTGTTGCTCTCGTGCAGGGCCAAACAAGAATGTATTGTGCTTAGCCCATCTGAAAGCCCAGAAAATGCAACTTTCCTTTAGAGGATCCTTGCTCTTGAGCTGCTGAAACTGTCCCTACTTGCTATCCCCAAACCTTGAAAATGTCCCTTGTTAATCTACATGACTGCAAATATCTCCTTAGGTTATTTTACCATAGGTAAATTGGCAAGAGTTTGTACCTGGAGATTACCTAAAATATCACTTACTTTGCAGGAATTAGTATGTTCATTCATTTTTCCTGAAAAAAAAAAGGGAACATATAGGGACATCTGCCTCATTATATAATGGTGCCTATTATGGATTCCTTACAGAATTTATCATTGCTTAGTTTCACAATTTTATAAATTTACATTCTGGATTTAGAATGACTGACATAGTAAAACCTCAAACCAAAATATAGAAATGTTTCTTTATGGCTAAAATAGCTGTGGAGAATAGTTATTTACACCACAATATCCTAGGCCTCAATCCCTGATTTAATTATATTACTTTAAAATATTTATTAAATCTAACTCTACAGTAATAAAATAACTACTTTTTAAATTTTATTACTATAGTTGCTATGATTGCAAACTAACAAAAGATTTTGCCCTGTCCATTAAAAAAACATAAATTTGCAAGAACTTGAAGAAAACAGATAATAAGAATTGCATGTGAGAAAAGAGTTGAATGCTCAGTCAGATATAGCCACAAACATGTGCAGTATGTGAATACAATCTCCTCAGGAAGATAAAAAGAGGTGATTGATTCCGTTAGTAAGACATGTGCTGAAGTAACTTTGGCTTCTAGCTGGCAACTGCCCCTGACCACCATCACTACCTGCAGCAGGACCCCATCAGCCCCCAGCAATCTTAGGGAATAAAGCCACCCAAGAGAGCTGAAGCAAGAGGTAACTCTATGCCAATTGGTATATACTGTTGGCTATCACAGTAATTAAAATAAACTTGCCCTGTGGATAATGTGAATTAGAAATGTGTATTTTGCGGGCGCCTATGTGGCGTAGTGGTTAAGTGTCTGACTCTTGGTTTTGGCTCAGGTCAGGATCTCAGGGTCCTGAGCTGGAGCCCTGGGTCTGACTCCGCACTCAGGCAGAGTCAGCTTGAGATTCTCTCTCCCTCTCCCTCTCCCTCTGTCTCTTCCCCCCACCCTGGGATCTCTCCCTCTCCCACCTCTCTCCCCCATGCTCTCTCCCTCTCTCTCCCTCTGCCCCTCCCCCATGCTCTCCCCCTCTCTCTCTCTCCCTCTCTATCTGCCCCTACCCCTCTCTCCCTCTCTCCCACTCTCTCCCTCTCCCTCTCCCTCTGCCACTCCCACTCATGCTCTCTCTCTCTCAAATAAATAAAAACAGATTTATTTATTTGTTTGAGAGAGAGAGCGCATGCAGGAGCACAAGCAGGGGGAGGGGCAGAGGGAGAAGCAGGCTCCCTACTGAGCAGGGAGCCAGATGAGGGGCTTGATCCCAGGACCTGAGCCAAAGGCAGACGCCTAACCAACTGAGCCACCCAGGTGCCCCACTTTTAAATAAACAAATCTTTTAAAAAAAAAGTCTATTTTCTTATCTAGCCATTTTGTGAAAAGCTAGTTATTATTGTTTTTTGTTATGAAACCAAGTAATACGTGAATATACCCTTCTCATGTCCCTTGTTTGAAAAAAGATAATTCAGGGCGCCTGGGTGGCTCAGATGGTTAAGCGTCTGCCTTCGGCTCAGGTCATGATCCCAGGGTCCTAGGATCGAGTTCCACATCGGGCTGCCTGCTCCTTGGGAGCCTGCTTCTCCCTCTGCCTCTCTCTCTGTCTCTCATGAATAAGTAAATAAAATCTTTAAAAAATAAAAACTAAAATAAAAAAAGATAATTCAGATGAGAATGGAATAAAATGTGTTTCCCTCTCTCCCAGTCTTACTCCCCTTGTCTGCAGTAGAAACTCTTAACCTGTTAACCAAATAGTATATACAGAGAGACTGACTTCTATGAAATTGTCTTATCTGCAGATTAAAAACAGCAAATACTAGCAATTTCATATGGTTCAAACTATTATTTCAAGGCTTAAAAAAATCCTGCTTTGTACTAATGCTACTGTTCTTTTGAATTAAATTATATGCATCTCAGTTAAATATTTTTAAATGAGAAGATGATTCTCTGGACCTAAATGGCCTCTGACTTCCACATTTTTAAATCTCACATTCTATGATTTTTTGATATCACATTATTTCATATGTCACTATGGCAGGATGCTACCAACTCTTGATAATTAGGATGACACTACATTCAATCAAAATCTGTCTTTATTGCTGTTTCCTAGTAACAAATATAGTTTCAGAGACAGAATGAAAAAGTGAACAGAAAGCAGTATTTGCTTCACAACGGAAGTGTTACAGAAGGTGTTTGTTTGTTAAGAAAAAGACATACACCTCCCCCAGGAAATGAAAAAAAATAAAATAAAATAAAGAACCTTCCTCCTGCAGTGGATTCTGGTCTGAGTAGAGCCCACTGCCCTAGGAGTCTCTGGCTATCCCTTGGTACTTGCTAGTTTGCGGTACTACCTTCTTCTCTAGCATATCCTCGGTGTGGGGGATGGAGATCCTCTTTGTTTTTATGGCTTTTAGCTACTCCAGACCTTTTAACTCTCCCTTTCACCCCATTCTTTTTTTTTTAAAGACTTTATTTATTTATTCATGAGAGACAGAGAGAGAGAGAGGCAGAGGGAGAAGCATGCTTCCAAGGAGCGTAGAGCCCGACGCGGGACTCGATTCCAGGACTCTGGGATCATGACCTGAGCCAAAGGCAGACGCTTAACGACTGAGCCACCCAGGCGCCCCCTTTCACCCCATTCTTATGTGACCGTCTACAGCACACTTATGTTGTATCTTACCTTCTTTCCTCTTAGGGTTTCTCTCTCTCTCTCAGCTCTGAGCAAATCAACATAGCATCTCTTAATTCTATGTCAGTGTCCCAAGGTGTGGTAAAACCCTGATACCACATGAGATCATTTTAGGTAACATAGTGATAAACTTCTAAAAAAAAAGAAAAAAGAATAGTTACATATGTGTGTATATTATATATCCATATATGTTATAAAAAATTAATTAACAAATTTGCAATTGCATATGTTTCTCATGCCACTTAGATTAAAAAAACAAGTTAGTTGCTTTATGAAATTAAGTCGATAATAAAGGTGGCATGTGAAGGTTAACTGATGTTTGGTAAACACTGATCTAATTTAATTCCTAAGTCCCCTTAAAACCTCACACTGTCTGTGGACAACAGCCTTTTTGCCCCTTCCACACACCAAACCTCAGTCTATTCCTTCTCTTGCTTACTTATCACTCATTCTCATTTCCAGTAGCGCAAGGCAGAAAGGCTATGTTTGGACACAAAAGCTGCATGTATTTACCGTTAGCACTTTTGGTTAGTTCACTTGTTTAAGTATGA